AGTTGCTTACCTCTCATTATATTTATACTTAACTTAAAGGATGAGATATTACAAGGATGCCCTTAGTAGGGCGGCTACTAATATAGCTGAACAGTCACAACTTAAAAAAAAACATAAACTAATGGGCCTAAAGCCCAACAACTTCCTAACTAAATAAAAAACAACTCGGACCAACTCAACAATATGCAATGTGTCCAGTAGATCGGAAACTTGGCTCCTTCACCAGAATCTGAAACAACAAAACCCATAAATCAGAAAAAGGGAAAAAGACCCTGAAGATGAGAAAGCATCGTCTAGCCACCTCTCCTCATCGAGGAGGAAATTATCCATCCTTCCTGGAGAAGGCAAGCTTAAGAGAGCTTGCAGAGTGTTCTAGTCTTCTAGACCATTGTTTATGTGCTTGCAGTGATGGATGCGCTGGGGAACATCATCTTTGTCCAGCAAGGTGCCAACCAGCTGGTTGGTAAGGTCTCCTGCTGGTTGTAGTGGAGACTTGGGATCGAATCCTGCCTGCACCTGGGTTGGGGGATGGGCTCCCCCCCCGTTGTGTAGCCCTTCACAAGATATCAAAAAAAAAAACATCCATCTTTGTCCAGAGTTTTGGAGGCATGAGAGGATTTTAGACAGCTTGTAACTGGGTCTTTGGTTTTAGGATCCTTCTCAATCTCCAGAGTAGTTGATCTTCTCTAGCTGTGAGAAAACCAGTTGGTTTTTGGAAGAGATAATTAAATCCATTTCACCTGGAGATGAAGGGATGAAAGGGGCAGCAAACAAGAAATAAGAGATGATAACTAGGGTTTGTACAGGAGAAAGAGAGCAGAGATGAGGGGTGTGTGTGTGTGGGTTTGTCTAATGTCCCACATACCCAAACAAAGTATATTCTATACTAATGAGTTACAATAGGTGAGAAAGGGCCATTGTGCCCTCCCTTCTATAGTTTAAGAAAGAAATAAAGGACTATACTCATATGGTACATAGGATACACAATAAAAAGGTACTCCCAGATAAGAAAAACATGAAATCAGCCCTTCTCACAACAGAGATAGCAAGAGACTAATAAACAAGAGTGAATGAAAGAGTACGGAAGGGAAATAAACTTTTCAGTCTGGTTGCAGCTGCCACTTGAACTAGAGTTCTTCAATTGTTCTGTATTTTTCTGTAATTTTTTATATGCTTTTTTTTTCAGTTTAAATTTTTTTCAGTCAGTTTAGATCGGATCAGAACAGATCCAATCTGATCCATTTGCATTAAAACAAATTGGATTGGGTTCTGTTTCTATTGGATTCAGATCAGATTGGATCCGGATTGTTTATAATCGATTCATATGGATTGGATCGAATTGGATCAGTACCTGGTCTACTGACCACCCTACCCACTGCCTAAATATATTACACATAAAAATTAATAAAATCCAATTGACTATTTGTCTCCTGTATTATTGTAATTTCAATGCAATGGAAAACCACAAGGAAATAATTCCATTCCAGGTGGCATCAGAACTAGAGCTTGCTGTTGGTTTTTCTTTATCCATTTTTCCTAGAGCATAAATACTAAATTTTTATGCAGTCACGTTGATGCGATGATGTTTTATGTTTAACATCACACATTTCCTTTGAAGTTTTAATAATTATATATATGCCCCTTTTGAATTATTAGCTATTCGGTTTGGTGGAAAGATGTAGGGCATCTGGTGTTTAAAAATGCATCTAGTTTCTTGTTAGAAAACATTTATCATGTTTTTTTTTGCAAAATTCCATATACGGGGACTTCTCTTCCTGGGATTGGATGTGTCATTTGATCTGTTTTGTGAAATTCTTGCTTTGTCCATGGGGACATTAGTTACTTGGTTGTATGGCATTCTGATTGAGACATGAGACAATCAGAACCTTATATTTCATCCATGCATCTCTGCAGGTGAGAGGAAGGACCAGAAAACCCTTGAAAGGCTGCGTGCTGAAAGGCAAGCAAAAATTGATGAACTGAAGGAGAGGACAAACTATTACACAACACAGCAGCTTATTCAGGTGATGAATGGAATCACTTAGCTATACATCATTCCATCTATTGTAGTGTTCTATTTGTGTTAATATTTTATTGCAGATGAACTAGTAGTTGGAAAATGCATGAACTCATAGTATCTGTGTAGGGTGCTCACTGTAAGCCATTGTCAGTGCAGAGATATGACCCTGATCCAGCAGCAAAAGCAGCAGCTGCTACTGTTCTTGCATCTAAATTGGGTGCAGATTCGGGCTTGAAGGTGTATGTTGAGGATGAGTTCAACCTGAAAGCTGCACCAGGAGACAGCAATGATGTTGAGCTTGTGCAATCTAGTGGGCTTCGAAACCGGAAAAAAACTGATGTCAAATTTGGCAGTGCAGAGAGCACAATGATGACTCAACCAATTGATGAAACACTGCATGATTTTGGGCAGAATCAGATGGTTGTTGAACACCATCTAAGATCAACTGCCTATGATGGAGGATGGGTTGCTCGTATTGCAGCATTGCTTGTTGGCGAGGATCCAACACAATCTTATGCACTTATATGTGGAAACTGCCATATGCACAATGGTGAGCGGTAAACTCTTCTCGTGTTCAACTACTTGGTGGTTATAAAGATATGTTATGTGTTTGATGATCACCAGTAGACCTGTTCATGGATCGGTCAGGCCAAGTTTGGGCCAGGCTTTGCATCTTTATTAACAGAAAATGTCCAGGCCCAGCCCTTATATGAAGCCTGAAGCCTCGTCTGGACATAAGAAGTCTTACCTATGGTGTAATTTATTATTGGGCCAGGCTTGGGCTCAAGCTAGGCTTATTTAAGAAAGCCCAAGCCCACGTGCCTAAAATTTTGTCCAAGCCCAATAAAGAATGGGCTGGGCTGGGCGAGCCCATTGCACTACCCGGCCCATGAACAGGTCTAATCAGCAGCATAGTTCTCAAGATGGAAAATTTTATTAGACATTCTTTGATGATCCATGTGAAACACATGTTTCTTTCAGAAGACCCTCCAAGGGAAGAATGTAGAACCGATCCAATGAACCTTTGTTTGTTTTGGTGCAGGGCTGGCCAGGAAGGAAGATTTCGCATACATAACTTACTACTGCCCACATTGCCATGCACTTAACAGGTCAGGGCAACTCATAGAGCATGGTTCCGGTTCCACCAACGCAAGCCTCCCAACGACCCCAACCACTCGTGATGTGATTAATAGCCTCACTAGTGCCATGACAGACAGCGAACTCCCAACTAACGATCAGATAATGGCTGCTGCTGCTGCACAGACGGCAGGAAGTGAAGTAAACGCATCTGGGGTTGATTAAAGACTTATTTCTGTACAATTGCTTATGGAAGGAACTTTTCTTTACTCTATACCTCATCTTTCGTTGTGGTACAAAAGTGTCTTGTGGTAGGAGTGGAGAAGCTTTTGTTTTTCAACTGTGAGAGCCCCTTCAACGACATCTTACACCATATTCTATACATACCCGATTGTCATTTTGTTTGGTCTTTTTTTTTTGGGTTTTCTTTTGAGGCGGTGAGTTATCTCTGTAGGATGAATTACCCTTATTTTTTATTGCTTTTTATTTTTTAGTGAAAATACCTAAAGAAGCATGATGCAAAATATATTTTTTAAGGATAGTTTTCATATAATTTTGCTTTGGAGGTTTTTTTTTCTCTCCAAAAGATTTGCTTGGAGGGCAAAAGCCAGAAGGCAACGCACACGCACAAGTAACTCCGTTTCTATTTTCTACAATAGTAACTTTTGTTAACTCCAACTTTGTAAAAACATATATAGGTAACTTCGCTTGTAATTTCTTCGTAGTTATTAACAATATGTTTGGTAAAAGTCTATTGTGATCCCAATCTGATGTTCAATCTGAAGTACTTCAAACCGAGGGTACAGTCAGATAGTCTTGCCAATTGGACAAGGCCGAGGTGGAAGGATGGAGCCGCACATTGAGATCTGCAACCAGGAGAAAGGTTAGAGACCCAATGAATTGTTCCCTGGGTAGATACTCCGACATTTAAGTTGGCAGGGTAGAGAAGGATGCAGCTAGGATGAACAGGTTGAAATAGCGTTGGTCCAAGCCTAAGAGATGGTCTAAAGATGTATTCAAAGAGTGTAGTTCCCAAAGCCCTTTACCTCGAGCGGGGAATACCTATTTATAGTTGGGTGTTCATGCCCCAGATGGATAGGGCTCTCGAGGTTGTTGAGATGAGGGTATCCGTTGAGGTCTTTGAGAAGTTTCCTTTTCTCCGATGAAGTTTGCTCCCTTGTCCGTGTGGGACACTCTTTAGTCGTGCTCTTTTGCTATGCATGGCGTTGATGTGGCTTGAGAGGGGAGCAGTCGTGGAGATAGCTATGTGGCATCCTTGGCCAGTTCAACCATCACCCGAACACCACCCCCTTAGTTCCAAAGTCGATGAGTGTAGTGCTCGATCGTGGCTGGGCGTGGAAGAGTTCAAGGATCCTCGGTTGAGGAATACTAGTTTCTTCGAGTTGATTAGCTCAGGGTAAGACAGGTTTGCTGGGCAGACTGATTGGTTCAATGCTCATGTCATTTTCATTATGGGTCAACAAACGTGCCGTTTCGTCTTCCGATGTCACGTTCGTGCAAAGTGCAACGTTTAATCGGCATTGTTGATTTGAGCAAAACTGGATTGTTGGTCCTCCCTATATAAAAGGGGAGGTGGCAAGCCATTTTTACTTTGTCATTTTGATGAGCGATCATAGGAGCTTGGCGAGAGTTAGTCCTCGGTCGGTGCTTTAGGTGTTTTGCGGTGTAACTCTTTGGTAAGATGTCTTCATCTTCCTCCTCGTCTTCTTGTTCTTCCTCTTTGTCTAACTCTTGCACATCGGGTAGTGAGTCTGAGCAGAGGCCTCATCCCGAGGCCACCGCGTTCCTAGCTCGTGAGACCGATGCCCATGGGGCCGAGGTTGATGGGCCTAAGGGTGGGGGTGATGCAGCGGAGGAGGCCATGGTCCTTCGAGAGGCTGAGGTCGGGGAAATTGATGAGGCAAAAGTGGACATTATGTCAGAGGAGGGGCTCAACGCTCTTGGGTGGTTCAATAGCCGCTTTGCCTCTTCACCTACCTTGTAGGTTGACACCTGGAGACCTGGCCCAAATTAGGGCACTTTATTGCATTCCCAAGGAGTACGAGCTAAGGTACCTCAGCATTGGTGAGAGGGCTACCTCAGCTCGGTCGGGGGAACTTTGCATCTATGAGCACAACCTGATAGTTGGGCTGAGATTTCCTTTGAGTGAGGGTATCGCAATGGTGTTGAGGTGGTACCACATCCAGTCAGTCCAGCTAATGCACAATTCCTTTAGATACTTGGTTAGCCTCCTTTGTTATTGCTTGGTTCACAACATGGACATCACCCTGTCGATGTTCACATACTTTCTTCACCTGAAGAAGCACTAACAGGGTTATTATTACTTCTCGGCCTGGCAATACAATAAGGTACTCGTCGGAGCCCCCGCCTTGGTGAAACACTAGGAGGGGTTCTTCTTCATGTGTTGCCCGGGGGGCTAGTCGTTTCCTATCAAGCTGTCGATCTCGAGGGCCAAGGTGAAGGCGCCGACCGAGGCTAAGTTGTCTAGTGAGGAGTTAGCAGCAATCAGGCGGATAGAGAGGGTAGACATGTAGGAGTACACGTTGTTCTCTATGTTGATCCATGTCGGGCTGATGGAGCCCCCGGCTGGTCTATCCTTGCTTTTGTGTCTTTCTTCTTATTTCATTTCTTCATCTTTGGCTTACTCGTTCTCTTTAGTAGATACGATAGTCGTTGACGAGGAGGAGAGAACGAAATGCATGTAGGCTGCCAAGCATAAAAGAGCGTTGATGTCGTGACTGCATGACAGTATAAGAGGTCGAGGCCTATTGAGGGAGACGTGGTGGATGTCAGCTCTGACGGGTTTCCACCGCATGCTGGGCCATGGCCCGCGCCACTGGGAAGTCTTGAGATTCTACCGAGTCTAGTGGAGCCAGTAGCCGAGGTGTATAGGCCGAGCTAGAGTGTTCGGCCTGAGGACACTCTAGAAATTGAGGGCGTGCCCGAGCAGCTGGCTAGGGGAATTTTACTATCCGGTATCCATAGGGAGACCAGCTACTGCACCAGCGGAGTGTTGGAGAGCGCAACCATCATGGAGTTTGTCATAGTAAGACTCTTTGCACTGCCTTTTTCTATTCTTCGGTGTGATTTTCCATGCTCATTGACTTGTGTTTTCCTTTTATAGGTTGTCTATGCGGTGACAACATTGGTTGACTAGATGCACACCCCCTATCAGAAGGCAATCGAAGAGGCAAAGGCGAAACTATTACATGCCGAGGAGGGCAGTCACCAAGTACAAGGAGTCTGAGGAGTTCCAGATTGCCCTTGACGATTTTGCTACGAACTCCTGGCAGATCGGCTTTGCTCACTACTAGTGGAGGGTCATGCGCGAGCACCTTGAAATCTCCGCGGTTGTGGAGTAGTATGGTTCCTTTGATGCTGGGGCACCACCAGTTGAGCAGTCTTCCTCGAACGACAGTGCAGCCACCCCCAAGGACGTGAGCTTATAATCATTGTATCACATTTTCATTAATGGAAGTTTGGTTCTCTTTCTTTTTTTTTCTTTTGTTGTACATAGCTCAGTATGTTGAGCTTATAATCATTCTCACCTTTTCATCAATAGAAGTTTGGTCTTTTTGTCGAGCACGTTTTGTGTCGTTTTTCCCTTCTTTTTCTAAGTTGTTGTGCTTTGGAATTAGATTGGTCGATAGGGACCATAGGTTGTGCTTCTGTACTTGCTCTTAGGCTAGTCGGGGTTTCGAACTTGATGTTGTGGTTAGGGTCTTCGGCTCTATGGCCTCAGTCTCATGTTGTTTGACGTCTTGGGCTTGATTCTAGATGGTTGGGATCTTCGACTTCGTGGCCTTGGTCTCATATTGGCCGAGGTCTTATGCCAGCCAAGGTCTTTGGCCTTCACTAGCTAAGGTCTTCGGCTTTGTGGCCGAGGTTTGTAGCTCTGATTCTCGTCGGCCGAGGTCTTTGGCTTAGTGGCCTCGATCTTATGTTGGTCGCAGTCTTCGGCCTTTGTTGGCCAAGGTTTTTGGCTTTGTGGCCTTAGTCTTACGCTGGCAGAGGTCTTTGGCTCTAATTCTTGTCGGCTGAGGTCTTTGACTTAGTGGCCTCAGTCTTTTGCTGGTTGAGGTACTTCCAAGCTCCCAACGTTGCTAGGAAGCTCAGTGGCACCTAGTCTTGGAGAGCTTCACGCTCTTTGATTGGGCTAGCCGTGGTCCTTGGTTAGCTATACTCCGACCGTGAGTCAAGATGGTGCACGAAGTTCGATGACCGTCCTCTTACCATTATGTGGCGGGGACGTCATTCCCGTGGTGCCCGTCAGGGGCTTGTTCTGGCCTCGACCGTCTATGGTCAGTCGAGTCTTTTGTGTGATGGTTGTCGGGCCTTAGTCGTTATAGGTCGATCATGTCTTTGATGAGGTTGTTGTCGCGCTGCATCCATTAGTCAGTGCGGAGTTCGACCGTTGGAGTTCGGTTGGACTGTATGCGGGCATTTTGCCGTTTGTGCATGAAGAAAATTCTTTATTTATCGAGTTTGTATAGCCTGATCGCTGTTAGTGCTCATCGCCGATCATCATCAATACATCCTATCCCTGGCACTCCAACTCCTTGTAGTAAGTTTTCTGCGCCTAGTTTCCCCCCTTTAAGGATCGCCCTGCTCGAGATGACAGCGATGACCCTGATCGGGAGAGCTCGGGTTGAGGGCTCGTCGGTGCGGTGCAACTCTTTTCTAGGTTTATGCTCTTTGATATCGATGAACCCACATAGGTATCCATATAGGACAAGGTCTTCCAGGTGGTGGTGAAGGTCATGGCAACTTTTGGTGTCGTTGTCATGGTCTCGGTGGAAATCACAATACATGTCCTGATTCCTCTTGTTGCCCTAGGTTTTTATCGTTTCAGGCAACTTGACAAAACTATGGTCGCAAATCTGCATCAATATTTCGGCCCGTAATGCGATCAGGGGAGTAAAGTTCATGTACATCAACGATGGGGTCCTTGGTCTACAGTCAGGTTGGTGATCCAATCTCTTGCTATCTCTATCCGATCTATGCTCGTCATGGTCCTTTCGCTTCCGATCATGTTGGTCCTCTTCACTCCTTTGTAGTGCCTGGGCTTCCTCGATGTTCATGTACTTCTATGCTTGCTTCATGAGCGCGGTTAAGTTGGGCGGAGGGTTCTTTTGCAATGAGAAGTTGAACATTGAGGAGCGCAACCCACTCATGATGGCTGTCACAACTACCGACTAGTCTAGAGCTCGGACTTGATGGGCTCTAACGTTGAACCTCGCCAAGTATTCCCTCAAGGTTTCTCCTTTCCTCTGTCGTACATGTATAAGGTTGGCCGGTGTCTTCCAGTGCCTTTGGCTGGCGGTGAACTGTGTCTCCAACTGTTCCCAGGTGGATATGGACCACGGCAGAAGGGAGGTGTACTAGGTCCTAACTACTCCGTGGAGGGTGGTGACAAAGACTTTGCACATGAGACCCTCGAGGGAGCCGTTCAACATCATTATCGCCTTGAACCCTTCAATATGGTCGTTTGGGTCTGAGACCCCATCGTACTTCTTGAACTAAGGAGATTGTCATTCAGTTGGGGGAGGCTCGTCGACGATCTCTTGGACGAAGACGGGCTCTTTTGCAAGCTGCTAACCGTGATGTTGCTATGTTGGTTGGGCTGTCGGAGAGGCCGCATTGCGATCCGCTTGGCTGCATTCTAGCTCGGCCAATCATTGTCATAGGTCTCTGATTTTAGTGTCCCTTTCCGTCAGTGCCACGTTGATGGACATCTCTACTTTCGGGGCTGCTTTCCGATCTCGAACTGAGCTAGATTCGGCTATCGAGATTGAGGATTGTTGTATGTGCTAGCCAGGTCATTCTCACACCAAAATCCTTGTGCTAGAGCGATGTGATTTACTGCAAATGTCACATGCACAAGGCCAAGTTGGGGGTTGGACCTTTGAGATGGATGCGGACACTCGCGGTAGGATTGGTCCCCGTGCTAACTTGCGTGGCACCTTTTAGAGTCCTCGGTGCGAGGATCGGCCATGGTAGGCGCCTACAAGATAGAGCAAGTGGCTTGGGGGTGTGCACCGGTTGTCCCAACATCTCCATCATGGTGGGGATATAGTCAACTGTCTGCTACATGACGAGGAACTATGTAGGGTCGACTGCTGCCTGATGTTAGGGATCCTAAGGTGGGGAGTTGCGAAGTGAATGGGATTCCCGAGATGGGGAACGGGCTCCAAAGCGGTCGGATGTGTTCTAAGGCATAATTGCTTTTAGTGCACAGAAAGGGTTTTGGGAAATGACTTTTTGTATGTTTCCCACAGACGACACCAATCTGATGTTATCTGATCCGAGGTGTTCTTAACCGAGGACACAATCAAATAGTTTTGCCAACTGGACAAGGCTGAGGTGGAAGGACGGAGCCACACACCAAGATTTGCAATCAAGAGAAAGGTCTGAGACCCGAGGAGTGTTCCCCGGGTAGATACTCCAATGCTCAAGTCAGCAAGGTAGAGAAGGATGCGATCAAGATGAGTAGGTTGAAATAGCGTTAGTCCGAACTAAAGAGATAGTGTAAAGAGGTATTCAAAGAGTGCAGTTCCCAAAGTCCCTTACCTCTAACTCTAACGGGGAATACTTATATATAGTTGTGTGTCCATGTCCCAGATGGATAGGACTCCCGGGGTTGTCGAGATGAGGGCATCCATTGAGGTTTTTGGGAGGTTTCCTTTTCTCCAGTGGAGTTCACTTCTTTGTCCGCGTGGAAAACGCCTTCTTAGTCGTGCTGTTCCGTTACACGTGACGTCAACATGGCCTGAGAGGGGAGCAGTCACAGAGATAACTATATGGCATCCTTGTCCAGATCAACCATCAACCGAACAACAATAGTTGTAAAAAAATACAATAGAAATGAAAGTGTAGAAAAAGGCTAGAACAAATAACTTCGAAGATTTGTACGTGAGCCTTTTTGAAGGGTCAAATCTCCCATTAGAGCAACTACTCTTAAACATATAGTTGTTCCTCCTTTTTGAGAAAGGTATTTTATTAATGACAAAAAAAAACTATAAACTATATATTCATTTTGGTGTAGGGCTATAAAGTTTGCTTGAAAGAGACCAACTAGAAAAGAAAATGTCTTTATCAAAACACTTTTGATAATTTAACTATAATATCATTGTGACGCAACGCATGTTTCTTATCGTGTGTTGATTAGAGAGGCGAGATACAAAGTTCATGTCACGCAATTCAACACTGTTGTATTAAGGCTATGGAGTCCTCCCAAAGAAGTTGAAGGGTTAAAGATCATGAGGGTCTTACTCATTGTATTAATTGTTGTATTTTTTGCATGTATATATGTAAGAATTAGTGGTATGTGTTTGTTTGTTTTACCTCTGGACATGTGTATTTTTTGGTTGTTAATGAATTGTATCCCAATAAACTTGTAGTGCGGAATTTGATCCCTTTGTTGATGGAAAGGGTTAATAGAATGTCTTAACTCTATTATAATTGTTGTTCCTTTTGCCATTGTATTCAAGTTAATCAACTAATTAGTGAAGTTCCAATGGTGACAAAATTGCGGCATTAATGGTTAGTGTCCAACAATAATGAACATATTACTGCATAAATATATCGAGGACCTAATGGTTTAGGTTTGGACTCGTGAGGATGACACTAGTTCCATTGGTTCTCATTCATTGTCAAAGAATTATTTGCCTAACAACACAAGGGACATAAATAGGAGGTCAACACTCCTGCACCTCATTCCAAGGTTTTGCTCTTGGACCAAGGGAATCAAGAAGGCTTATGACCAAGGTATCCCAATTTTTTGCATGATCTCCATTAGAGTGGGATGACCAACCTTGCACGTGAGATCCAATTGTTGGTCCCTAATAAAGTGATGAGGGCCTATCAATAGTAGGGACCTTACAACAAGTTCCATTATACAAATAACCCTTCATTAATATGAAAAATGATAAGAAACCTTCACCCACTCTCCTCTCTATCTCCAACTCTCTATGTATTTGATCAAGTTTTTGATAAATTTATCAGAAACAGGATCATAAAGCCGATCATATTTCCTCTCTTTCTCTCTCTCCATCTTTGTATCTGATCAGGTTTCTAATCAGTTTCACCACCATTAACAATGACCGATCATATAAGGAAAGGGAAATATTCATTTAAATCGCCTATACACAACATTAATCCCTACTAAACATATGCCATTCATCCATCTCGAATGTATCAAACCATGTCTACAATAAATAAACACAGCCTTAAACCCTACTTCAAAACATATGCCATTCATCAATCTTGGTCATATCTAACCATGTGTCTACAACTAAGGGAATGAAAACCCTAAAAAATCTTGCATTAAAATCAAGCAAAAGTCAACGTAATATAAAGACAGTTAAAAAAGCATACTGAATGATAGCAAAAAAAATACCCTGATTGTCTCTTCCGCCGCCGACAACAAGAGTCATCTTCTCCGGCAACGACTAAGTTAAAAAAAGGGGTACACAATTTCTTCCGACGATTTCTTCCACAATACATAGAGTAAAGCACTAAAGCACTAGTTTCTTTGATTTCAACTTTTCTGGCGTTGCATTCGGGCATCGATTTCAACTTTTCCAACATCGCATTCACTTGACATCACCGGCGCGAGGAACTGGTTTCTTCAGAATTTCAAGTAACAAAGTGGGTGAACAGTTCCTACTTGCAAAGAAAGGATTATAATTGGGGTCATTTTTGTCATTTTGAAAATTAATTCAAGCATTGCTCGAAAAACCACGGTGGGTAGTTATGTCTTTTTGCATTTTGACCAATGGTGAATTAACGCCAAATATTGGGTCATCACAAATTGAAAGTTCAAATAGTAGATTATCGCATTTTAAAGTTCAGGTACTAAATTGACACTCACCTAAAATACAAGATACCTATTGAGAATTTTCTCTATACACATATATTATGTGTTATTACAATTAATAATCCAGTATGTGATTGTCACGTTTTGAAAATTTGGATACATTTTAAAGTTAGGGGACAAAGTGACGCTATAAAGTACAGGTAATCTAATCGGGAATTTTCCCTTAAATTATTAATTGTTTTTATTTTTATTTTTATTTTTACTTTTTGCATTTTCTTTCATCCTCCTAGCTCCCACGGTCCAGGACATCAAACAGAAACAGTCCATCTTCTCTCCTCTCCGACTTTTCTTATCGTCTTCAACATTTAATCTTTAATCTTCTTTGGGATTAGGATTTTAGTAGTTGTTGCTGGCTTGCAGCGGCAACCTTATTAGGCGGCGGCGAAGAGTTGGCTACTGCAACTACCATCTTGAGCGGGGATTTCTTGCAGCGGCAACCTTAAAACTGTGTCGAAGACTTGAAGCTATCCTGTGGTTGATACTCAGGTTGCAGCTGAAACCTTCTGGTTAATGTTGCAGAGGAGATTTTTTGAAGAGGAATTTCTTTGTTGAGATTTCAAAATGCCCCATGTTACTTTCTCCAGAGTCTAGAAAAACAGCCGATTCAACATGTCTTACTGAATTATTGTGAATCTGTAAGAGAGGGGTTTTCAGAGAAGTTAATCAGCTTTGGATCTTTTGACAAAGAGGGTGGTTTTCAATCTGCAAAGAGGGGGGTTGTTTAGAGAAAGCACAACGGAGGGATTTTTCAGTCTGTAACAAAGAGGATTTTTGGTTTGTAACGGACCGAATCGTTTGAACCAAACGGTTGAACCGCTGACTTGGAAACCGGAGGCCAAAGCGGTTTTGGTTCGGGACCTTCGGGCAAAGGCAGCACTTCTGAAACCAAGATAGCGCAATGGTTTTTCAACAGTCTTCGGCACATTTGGTTTCTTCTTAATTTTGATATGTTTCTACATTTGGTTTCAGGGCTTCTTTTTGTTATTTTGTTCTCTCACGATGTTCGAAGGATTGGTACGTCAGTTGCTGCTAGGTTATCTCGGTCGATATGTTAAAGATATTCATAAGGAGCAGCTCAAGATCGGATTATGGAATGGTAACCCGAGCCATAGCTACAATTTCCCTTCAATTTCTTTAGAGATTGTTGCTTGTTTCAATCATTTGATTTGTCATTATGTTGCCTATGTTTGTTTTGCTCCATTCTTTTAACTGATTAAGAAGTTTCACACCTGAATTAATTTTGCTGGATTTTTTTCGTGTTTGTATTCTTGTTTTTTCCTCCATTTTGATGGTTATATGGATAAGGTGATTGAAATTGACTCGTTGAGCTATTTATTGATCATAAGTTTTTGTAATCCTTACTTTGTTTGAAAAACATATACAAGTAACTTTGTTTCTAGTTTATTCCTGGTTACTAATAGTATGTTTGGTCAAGGGCTATTATGATCCCGACAGTCGTAACTAATATATAATAGAAATGAAAGTAGAGAAAAAGGTTAGAACAGTCAACTTCGAGGGCATGTAGGTATGCCTCTTTGAGGGACCAAATCTCCCACGGGAGCATTTACTCCCAAAATATAGTTGTTCCTCCTTTTTGAGAAAGTAAGGTTTTTCATTAATGGCAAAAAAACCTATAGACCATATACATCCATTTGAGTCTAGAGCTACACAACTTGTTATCAAGATATCAACTAGAAAAGAGGTCAGAGGTGGAGAGATTGATTTCTGATATTGAGTTTAGTGGTAGAGGGGAGAGAAGGAAGTCTCCCCTTTAAGGGAGTTCTAGATTTGAAGAGGGGCCAACGCTAGTGTGAAGCTTAATGAAGATTATTAGTTGGAATGTGAGAGGTTTGGGGAGTGCAAGGAAAAGAAGGGTGATTAAGGATTTCTTGAGAAGAGAGAGACCTGATATAGTTTTGCTACAAGAAACCAAGTTAGCAGAGTTAGACAAAAGGTGGGTTAGAAGTGTGTGGAGATCAAGAGGAGTGAAGTGGGCCTCAACTCCTTCATGGGGAGCCTTCTCTTGTGCCTCCTTTTTGAAGACCCTCTGTTCTTCCTCCCCTCAGTTGGCCTTTTCGGTTAAGGAGCTTTTGGCTAAAGCCTGTTCCCCCTAAAATTATTTTGTTTTGCTGGGAAGTGTTTTGTGGGAAAATCAATACTTTAGACTGCCTACAAAAGAAGAAGCCTTTTATGTGCTTGCCCCCTAACTGGTGTATTCTTTGCAAAGCTAATGGTGAGGGCTGCTTCCACTTACTAATTTCCTGCTCCTTTGCTGTTGTTATTTGGGATTAGATTTTAGCCTAATTTAGATGCAGGTGGAATCTACCCACTGATGTAAGTTTGCTTTTTGACCCGTTGGTCTTTGTATGGCCCACAAAAAGAGGGAGGATCATGTGGAAATGTATTAGAGCAACTGCACTTTGGACAATTTGGGAGGAAAGGAATGCAAGAACCTTTGGCAGTTTTTTGCACAAAATGGCTGTTCTTAGACTTGAACCTCATTTCTCATGCTTATCAGCCTGGGATTTTACCATTGCACTAAGCAAAAAATAAATAGGGAAAGTCGGGAAAAGTCCACTTTGAGGGGGACAAACCTCTCCAAGGGGGCAAATCCTCCACCAGAGAAGCTGCTCCTAAAACATAATTCTTCTTTTTCAAAGCTATATGACATCTATAATATACAAGAGAACTAGGACAAACTAAGCATGTAAGTTGCCTGATAAAATGGGTATTGAAGAAAACTTTCTAATAGATCTCAGAAATATAACTAATTTTTAAACTAAGAAATAAAGAAAAATTAAGTACTTTTTAGATACAGGATCATAACAAGAGCTTTATGAAATGCATTGATAGGTTTTGTTTTGCTGGCCTTTATTTTTTTTTTCCTCAAGTGGTCATGAACCTAAGGTTCCAATCTCCAATTAACTAGTGACAACGTTCTCAGATTTTATATTTGATGTCATTTATGTCCAAAAATATATTGCTTAACCCTTTTACCTAATCCTTATTTGGTTAGCAAAAAGACCTATGCTTTTTCCAAAAAAAAAAAATCTTTACTTAATGTGCCTACCATTAATGCATGATGCAGGTTGGAACCTGCAAACTGAGAAAAAGAAGAAAAAAATAACCTAGGAATCAACACCTAGGTACCTTGTTGGACACCTTAAATAGATTATTCAAAGCTGAGGTTCCTTGAAGAACACCTGTTACAATGCCCAACCATGGGTCAATTCAAAAGTCAAAACTATGTGTATATACATCTCTACCACCTGGCCTGAACCCAAGGTCAATACACACAGATGGGCAGGCCACCGGCCCTCATACCCAACCATGACCTGTTGTGGTCTACAGTATGCTAGTCTGCTTTTTTGGTCTCAATTTTCAAATGTAACTATGCCTTGTTTGAGCACTGGCAGGAGTAACCACCCGTAACTGCCTGCGCCTCATTGTTATACACCTTGCACCTGGACCAGGTCATGTTCTCATCACCACCCTTGCCCATCTGTGTGTATTCTTCTGTCCAGGTGTGCACTTTGCTCTTGAGTGCCTTCCAAATCTGAACATTGTGCACCCTCTGTTGGCGACTACCAGCATCACTGGGTCTTGTTGTCCTGGCATTGGTGTGCCAACTGCAAGCTATCTGCATGCTTGGCCAACAGCTATGCCCTGCCACGGCATCTTCCTGCCATAGATTGTCTGCCTTACTAAATCTGCCCTGTCCTGCTATCCCAGTAATAGTACACCCTATATGCCAGTCCTTGCCCACAGTCCTTCATGGCTGTGGATTCTCATGCCTCCCTCATGAGATGAGTAAGTCTTTTAGTGGCTTAGGTCAAGGGCATATTTGTCATATTGGTTATAATTCATAATTAGGTGTGGATCTGTAATTTTGTTGTATTGTAGTGCACTCATATAAAAAGCTAATGAAGTGGGAAGAGCTGAGCTTGTATGGAAGATTTGTTAGTCTTGCCCACGCAGTTCACCACGACCACTGAGCCATGGAGCCATCAAGTTAGGGTTTAACACTAGCTATAAAGGGGTGGGGAGACCTGAGCTTGTATTGGGGTCCCCATAGGCTTGGGGTACTTTTTTTTGGTTGTTAGCTTTCAGCTGTTGTATATCCTTCCCTACATATGAGCAGCTCAAGTTGAGGGGATTCCATTCTATGACATTTTAATAATACTACATTTGATTGTATTTTATTATTAATAAAAGATTGAAATGCTATAACTATCTCCTTGTTAGTTGTCTTTTGGACATTTAAACAAAATACCACTTTGTTCTCAGTCACCTTCTCAAGAAACAAAAAGAAAAAGGTATGAGAATGTTTTTTTTTTCTCCAGAAAATTATAATTATTAACAAGAACGTGGCTTTGGTGATTGCAATGCCATATATGCTAGATATTTTTGTCTGTGTGGCCATGAGTCAATGTTTGTCCCAGCTATCTGGTGTTTTGGGAGGGGTATACTGGATATGGACTTAACCTTTTTTTTTTTTGCACAAAGGCCCCTATTTTTTGTCTATATGCATATATTGTATAATTCTTAAGGCAGTTTTACCTTGTTTTGCAGGAGAAGTTCTATTGGAGAATGTAGAGCTAATTCTTGAAGCTTTTGACTACCTACAATTGCCTTTTGCACTAAAACAAGGTATTCTGATCCATTTTCTTTCTCCCATCCTGAAATTTCTTAACTGTGGAGAAAATTTGATGGTACTTAAAAAGTGTCTGACTGCATGTATTTCTCCTAGTTTAAGAAAACAGATTTATATTTGCATTTCGTCTTACTTGAACATGAAATAAGCAGAAATATCATTTGCTATGAAATATAGTTAACGTTGGATCTTAGGACCCCAATACAACTCAATCCTGTTAACCAAGTTGCTATGAAATCTTTTAACTCTCCCCAAAATCAATGAAAAAAGTTACAATTGAGTCCAAAACAACTGATTTCTTCCCACCCCTTGTTTTGCCAAGACATCAGCAAAATAAGTCTTAGTTTCAGCTCTGAACTTCTTCCCCCACCTGTTGTTAGCACGAATGAAGCTTATCTCTTCCTCCATTCCTTTGTCTCAAATGTGTGATTATACTTAAAATGATTCCTTGAAGGTTTATTGACTAATTTCATATATTTCCCTGATTTTTAACTTTTCCAAACATCTTAGTGAAATTTACGAAATATCCCAAAAAATTCCCTGTCTCCCTATGGTGAAATGTTCATTAATATTGAAATTGCGAACCATGTTCTTAACAAGGGTCTTGTGGCCGTAAGCTGCTTGTTGTTCCACCATGGCTACTGGGAAAGGTCTTCTGTGCTCTTTGACTCAGTATGGTGAAAGTTTTTATTCTTTGTTATTGATTGAAAAAAGGTTTTCTCATTTGTTGGTATAATTGATTTTGCTGTTATCTGAGCTCATTCATTTTTAAGCTCCTTTTCTCTCTTTCCAATTTATCTTTTGATGCTTTTTTCCTCTTTTTTATGGTTTTCTCTTCAAATAAAAATATATTTCCACTTATCTTCCCAATTAAATTCTTTCTTTTCTCTGATAGAAGGTAAATGTTTTCTCTTATCATCTTCTCTTTTACTTTGGTCATGTTTTCTAGGCCATGTTGGGAGATTAAGCATCAAAATTCCATGGAAAAAACTTGGTTGGGATCCTATAATAATCGTGTTAGAGGATGTTTTCATGTCTGCCTGCAGAAGAGATGATAATGAGGTATACTGGAGCATTTTATTTCATAAGTAATAATTCAAGCTTCATCTTTCATTCACTGTATGGTGGAATCTTCTGAAATTAATGACAAATTTGGATCTTGCTGCTAAAAAGATACGATGGATAATCATATTACTATAAAAGGAAAAAAGATTTCATTTGAAATCTAATTGTTGAGCCATTTTTTTCCTTTTGGTAGTGGAGTTTAGATTCAGTTGAAAGAAGAGAATATGCAGGCAAGAAGGCCAAACTTGCCACAGCAGAGCTAGCAAAATTATCAAGACGTGTATGTGGTGAGTAAATTTCATTTCAAATTTTCTTTTCTTTTTATTTTGATGTACATATACTTATACATATATCCTTCTTCAGATTTCTAATGTTCAAACATCGGTAATTATAGTTATTTAACTGTAATAATTTTTTGATAAACTAATTTCATGTCTGCATGAATCAGGTGACATAATTTTCAAAATACTCTTTATGATGGTTGGTAGCATTTAAGCTATGAGATAGTGGAATGAATCTATAAATCATGGACTTGGCACTAGTCCAGACTCCAGAGCAAGATATATTTTGATTCTAGGTGGGGGAGGGAACTAGTGAGGCACTAGCAAAATATCTTTTTCTTGGTGTAATGATGAAATCTCAGGCTGACAAGTGTGAGTACATGGGTTTGAGTTGAAGAGCAACCACTCTATGCAAAAATGCCAAAGTTTAGTCTGTACCCAGTCCACCCCTTCCAAGATCCCTGATAGCTGGGACCAACATTGAGTAATGGCCTTTTTTGGCTCTTTTTTTACCCCATGTACATGTATTCAAAGGGTATCTTTTTTGTATGTCCTAATTACTACTGGGGATGACATGTTAGAGAAGTTGGTTTCCAGGGATGAAATTGAAAGCTTTGAGGTTTCTGCCGAAGCGGTGCCTGTGGAGGAGGATATGTTAATAGAAAGCTTGGATTTAAAGAAATTAGTTGATAAAGAGGTGGAAATTGGCAAATTATTGGGCTTTATTCTTTTTGGGAGGGAGAGTTTTGCAAGGAAAGTTTTTGAAGCCTTTGAAAGGAAGAGGAAGGAAGAAAGTATGAGGAAAGTTTCTGAAGCGCTAGGAGGAGAAAGATGGGATGAGGAAGGAGGTTGGGAAGAGTTTGGAGAGGTTGAAGATTAATTTGAGCTTCGTTGGAGCCTATTTGCTTCTGATGTTTTAGTGCAAGTTTGGTATCAGTCGAGCTTATTTTTCTGAACTTCGTTTTAGTTTGGGTGGGAGTTTTTCTGTTGTGATTGTGGGGTGTTATCGCAACACCTATCTCTTGGTTGTATTCAGTGTTTTTTTGTTTCTTCAATAACATTTTCCTTTTACTTATCAAGTTATCTAAAATAAAAAAGATTGTAGGGATGTGGGAGAGGGGGGAGAGATTTAAGGGGAGACTTTTTTAGAAATGATAAATTAAAGTAGAAGTGAAGTGATTATGAGGAGAATAAGAGAACCCAATGTTTCTCTATCCATATGAGATATGGTTTCTCTCAAAATAAAAAAGAAAACAAGAAAAGGGTATAAATTGTAGTGATGTGGGAGAGGGAGAGGGAGAGGGGGAGAGATTTAAGGGGAGACTTTTGAGGAAAGGATAAATTAAAGTGGAATTGAGGTGATTATGAGGAGAATTTAGGAACAGAGGTGAAAGCTCTGTTAGAAACTGAAGAAAAATTCGAAAAATGGAAAAAAAAAATTACAGGGGACAACAGAGGAAGGAGAAGGCTTCTGTGGAATACACTGCTTTAGTATATAGTTATAGATACTTATGATTAACAAAATCTACTTGTTATTTATCACAAAAAGAAATGGTGGCATAGTTACCGAAGTACTGCAGAAATTATTTCTTGGCATTATTGCTGTTGTTTGAATCTGGGCCATTTATTGAATAGGTACTCTTGTTATCTTGGTGCAGATAATCAGGCTGGACAGTCGTTCATTTCATACATTACTGCAAAGGTAACCATCTTGAAAGTTCTTTGTTGCATTAATTAATTAGATCTGAACTTTATGGTAGCTGTTTATGACCTTTTTTATTTGTAAGTTCTTTGTTGCATTAATGATGTCATAATGACATCATAACTTTGTCCTTCAAAACAAGATTTTAACCATTGGACTGCAATAGTTTGAGTGGTTTGAAAGCTGGTTCAGTCCTGAATAAACTGAATATAATAGTAAGCTAACCTAGGGCTGGTAGATGGTGAAAAAGGTTTATGGGTAACCTTGCTTTAACATCAAACAAAGTATTCTCTGAATCTAGGAGAAAATTCAGAGAATAGTTGCTGGTTTGCTTCTAGTAGCAGAGAACTACTGGAGAATAACAGAGAAAAGAAGAATCATGTGTTTCTCTTACACTGATTTCAAGGACAACTGTGGAGAAAAATAAAAACTCACTCATTCGATTTTGTTTAGTTCTATTCTGGATAGATTTCAAGGACAATCAATGCTCATTGTCTTTAGCGTATGCTTATGTTGTGACAGTGGGACCTCCATAATTGATCTCATAACTTCTATCCCCAAGAAATACCTAGGGGTACATATAGGGCAGGCCCAACCGAGCCCGGACTGGTTGGAACCATTCATTTCGATGAGAAGTAATCTTTGCTATGGCATTTCTTACAACTTAATCTGATTGAGTGTGTGATTTATATGGGCCATTACTTGGTGTAACGGTAAAATCTCGGGTTGTCAAGTGTGAGAATGTGCATTTGAGTCTGAGAGCAGCCATTTTGTGCAAAAAAATGTGAAATTTTAAGACCGTATTGGTGTATTCGGTCCATCCCTCCCAACACCCCAGCTAGGGCCAACATTGGGTAATGGCCTTTTTTGAGTGTGAGTTATCAAAAACTTTTCTGTTTCTCTCCTTCAACAAAGGCCAAAATATAGCCTTGGGAATCAACTGCCAGATCACTTTTTCTTTATGGTTCAGCCTGCCTATGTGCCAGGTTGCCAGCTTGAGAGAGTCTCCAAAATTGTTTTGGGGAAGACCCAGCTGATGTTGAGAGCACTCAAAATGCTGGTCTAGATTTTGTGGCTCATGGGGCAATGCACAATGCACAAAGAGGTGATTGACTGTCTTGGGATCATAGCTGCAAAAGTCACAACTCATAGAAGAGAGATTCATTCTTCTACCTGAGAGCTTGTCTCTGGTTATGCATTTACCTAGGACTGCAGTCCAGGTTAGGAAGGCCACCTTTGAGGGGATATGATGGGACCAAATTAGTCTGTGAGGGAAGTGTAAAGAGTGGGGATTATTCAGGTTCCTTATGAAGGATTTGACAGAAAAATTCATGCTTTGTCCCAGGTTCCTTATGTTTTGGAGAGAATGTAATAACTTCACCATGTGCTCTTTTTCTCAATCCTGCAAGTTTCTTTTCTTCTGAATTTGGTAAACCAAACCACCCGGTCAGCATCAATAGGGAACATCTCCGCTACAGGTGCATCTTTGTTCTCCACAATGGAGAATAGTTTTGGGAAAAAGGTTGCAAGGGTTCTGCTGCTACATCACCAGTCTGCCCATTCCACCCATAGCAACCATAAGGAGAGGTTATGTAACTAGAATCCCAGCCCTAATGTTGTTGTGCCACCAGCTATCTCTTTCTAGGTTGAATCTTGTGAACCATTAATTTAGAAGGGCCATGTTCATGTCCTTGATGCTGTGCAGGCCCAAGCCACCATTAGCTTTTAGGGAGCAGATTTTTGACCAGTCAATCAAGTGGAATTTGTTTTCTTGTTTCACACCTTTTCATAGGAAATCCTATTGGATCTTTTCCAATTTAGAGGCCACCTTGTGAGGCACAGGTGAAAGGGGTAGGAGATAAGTAGGTAGGCTGGACAGGGGGCTTTTGATTAGGGCAAGCTTACCTCTCTTTGAAGGGTATCTTTCTTTCCATGAAGCGAGCTTTCTTTGCATATATGTGCATCTCTCTCTCTCTCTCTCTCTCTCTATATATATATATATATTCTAGCACAGGGTTCTAGATGGCACTAGAGAGGATGCAATTTTGGTGGGATTCAAGGATTGTGAACTCAATTTTGGATGAGATGTTAAGCCATATTTGCTTAGTTTTGAATTTTCTCTATTTACCTTTGATGAGGCAAAAAAATGTATGAATATATTTTGTTTTGCATTTTTTTTTGTAGTAGGATCCCAAATTGTTGTTTTTGGGTAACTTTGTTGATAGTTTGGGACCAAGAGTATTTTCGTCATTTTACAAGTCAGATTTTTGGCCAGGGGCAGTTGGGTGCATATCTGTTGGGTTTTGGTCCCTTGGGTCTTTTTGTAACAAAAGTTATCTTTTGAGGGTTCATTTGAAGTTAGTTTTGTTCTTAAGGAGTTGCTTGTGAGAAGGAAACATTCTAGGGGCTTGAAAGGAGGTGAGTTTACTTGGACTCCCGTAGCTGAGAAAAGCTTCCAAGAGCTAAAGATGAGGATGACAAAGGCTCTGGTATTGGCTTTACCTGATTTTAACAAGCTCTTTGAAGTTGAATGTGATGCATCCCATGTTGGAATTGGAGCTGTTGTTAGCCAAGAAGGCCATGTAGTTGCTTACTTTAGTAAGAAACTCAATGATGCTAGAAGGAGGTATTCTACTTCCACTTATGATGTTGAGTTTATGCCATTGTGCAAGTGCTGAAGTTTTGGAGGCATTATCTTATCCAACGGGAGTTTGTGTTGTATTTAGACCATGAAGCATTGAAATACCTTAACTCCCAACAGAAGATAAAGGGAAGACATGCTAAATGGGTTGACTTTCTACAAAAATATAATTTTGTTTTGAAGTATAAGGCTGGACAGCAAAATCGGGTAGCTGATGCTCTTAGTAGGAGAGTTCACTTGGTGTCAACAATGTCTACTAATGTTGTGGGATTTAGCTCCATCAAAGACCAATATCAAGATGACCCTTATTTTGGCCCTATTTGTAGAAGCTATGCAGTAGGTGACAAGGATATTCGAGCTAAGTTTGTGTGGAATGATGGTTACTTATTCATGGGCAATAGGTTATGTATTCCATCAGGATCTTTGAGGGCATTACTCATTGCTGATTTGCATTGCAAGGGACATTTTGGTCGCAAGAAGACACTTGAAATGGTCTCCAAAAGGTACTTTTGGCAAGGCTACAAAAGGATTTGTTCTATTATGTTGATAGATGTCACAAGTGCCAAACATCTAAGGGGCAGCATCAAAATACAGGTTTGTATCTTCCCTTACCTATACCAGAAGCACCATGGACTGATATTACTATGGATTTTGTGTTGGGGTTGCCAAGAACTGTTGGAAAACGTGGGGTTACTGGTTCAGATTTGAAAATAGAATTGTATATATTCCTAGGATTGTGGAAGGATTGATTTAGAAAGTTTTTTCTTTCTATTTCTTTCTTTCTATTTTTTGTACTTTCTAATTGTTTTTTCTTTCTATTTTTTCTTCTTTCTATTTTCTTTTCTTTCTATTTTTCTTTCTTTCTATTTATTGCAGCAGCTTACTGTATAAATATGCCAATTGGCAATAGAATGAAWCATATCAGTATTCTACCATTMCAAAACATGGTATCAGAGCTCTAGGTTTGTCAACCTTGAGATATTTTTTCGGCCTTCATTGCTAGTTTTTCGTGTTTTTCTCTTCTGGCCTTTAGTGTTGATCTATAACCAGAAGTGTTCCTTTATTCTCCTTTCCTGCTGGCCTTATTTTTCCTCCATTAACARTGTCCGACATGACTGCAACAAGTGCTCCCGTTCAAACCGATGAAGGAGCAACAAATTCTCATCCTTACACTGGTGGTTTGCAGAATATTCAGGCAACATATAGACTGAATGGCCAGAATTACTTGAAGTGGTCACAACTAGTGCGTACCTATTTGAAGGGAAAAGGAAAAATTAGTC